GCCCCCTCCTTTCCCTCCTCCGTTTTCCCAAAAAGTGTGAAAATGGCTGAACACCTCCCTATTTTTTCCTCACATCCGCGCCTCTGATGCTGGTGTAAATGTGTGGCATTGGAAACATACTCCCCACAATAACATATCTGTTGCTGTTTACGATGCTACCGACCGCTTATAAGCAAACGTTCAAGCCCTTACAGATAGCCTAAACAAGCTGACGGGGCCTAAGCCGTGGTGTAAAGCCTTCTCGCTACTGAACATAGTTAGACTCGGGCCACACACGCACCAAGATCGGCCAGCATCGCCACGGGATCACTGATAATTTGACAAAAAAGCGACACTTTACGGCTTATGAGCGCGCCAGGGGGAAATCGGTTTTTTGCCCTCTCTTATTCACTTCTCACTTCTTCACTAGTTTTTGCTAGTACAAATGTACATTTTTTTTTTATATACCCTTTCACGTTTGTTCAGAATTGATGTATTTTTGTTCCGCTGAAGTATAATTCGACCTTTAGCGGTTAAATGCAAAAGTGATGTCAAAAGAAACTGTCAGTCTGGAATATATTTGTGTACGATTGCTAACGAGAAACACAGCAAGCGCAAGGTGTAGGAAAACTGAAGAATTGTTTACGAAAACTGTGAATTTCTTTTTACAACTAAATTAAAGTAAAGAGGGTCTCGTGTTTAAATATGGAGGTTAACCACTAAGATAGAATACGACCGCCTGAGAATACGTGGGAAAGAACTGTATGGAACTAGTAAAGACAATCTGGAATGTGTGAAAGTTGTTAGTCACATGTTTGCGTTGCTCTTCACTGCATATTATTTTCGTCTGTAAATATCTGTGCCGGAAAAAGTGTTCATGGTTTGTTTTTATAAATTGACTCCCAGAACTAACGTAAATATTTCTGAAAGATTACGTCAGAAATATGTTGTCTGATTAACGAATTATTATTTTTTTCGCTAACTTTCTTTTCTACATATTTCATTTCTTTTTCTTATTCTTACGTCTCCTATTTCTCCTGTTCCGTCTTCTCTTCCTCTTTTTATTATTATTCTGCCTCCTTTTTCAGCTCCAACTCCTCCTCCTTTTCTTCTTCTTCTATTTCGTCTTCTTCTTGTTTTTGTCTTCTTCTTCTTTTTCTTCTTGTTTCTTTTTCTTCTTCTTCTTCTTCTTCTTCTTCTTCTTCTTCTTCTTCTTCTTCTTCTTCTTCTTCTTCTTCTTCTTCTTCTTCTTCTTCTTCTTCTTCTTCTTCTTCTTCTTCTGCTTCTTCTTCTTCTTCTTCTTCTTCTGCTTCTGCTTCTTCTTCTTCTTCTTCTTCTTCTTCTTCTTCTTCTTATTCTTCTTCTTCTTCTTCTTCTTCTTCTTCTTCTTCTTCTTCTTCTTCTTCTTCTTCTTCTTCTTCTTCTTCTTCTTCTTCTTCTTCTTCTATTTCTTGAACATGACTATGCAAATGAGCATGGTGAAGTAAAAAAATGATGTGTAAAAATTAAATGAGTAATAATAAAAATGGTGAATTAACAACACAAATACAACTAAACACTGAAAAACAACCACAGGTAAAGGACACAGAACCTTTAGGATAACAAAAATTTCACTCACGCATTTACCCATTGAGTGAAACATTACGAACATGCAGATATATTGGCTGATGCTGCACTGCTGGGTAATGAAATAATTCGTGGCAATCTGAATATGACCAAGCACCTTTGGGAACAAGTGAACAAGTGGACAAGACAACAAGTGAACAAGGCAACAAGTGGACAAGACAACAAGTGAACAAGGCAACAAGTGAACAAGGCAACAAGTGAACAAGGCAACAAGTGAACAAGGCAACAAGTGAACAAGGCAACAAGTGAACAAGGCAACAAGTGAACAAGGCAACAAGTCAACAAGGCAACACGTGAACAAGGCAACAAGTGAACAAGGCAACAAGTGAACAAGGCAACAAGTGAACAAGGCAACAAGTGAACAAGGCAACAAGTGAACAAGGCAACAAGTGAACAAGGCAACAAGTGAACGATGCGAAACAGCGAGTAGATCATTTCGGTGTCGGGGAATATTGCAGTAGGTAGTGACCAAGGAATCTGGTCGATATACAACCCTCTGAGGAAGGTCAAGAAGGACATACATTCAGACTGCTACTGGAACTTTTCGCTGGCTGCTGAAGATAGGGACTGGACGTTAATGGAAATGTCCCAACGATTTGATGCGAAGTATTAGCTTACCTCAAGTCAGGAAAACAACAGACCCTATTTCTGGACTACAATTTTAGCAGGGGCTGCGTTAGCGCAGTCGATAGGAAACTCGATTTCAAATCCAGCTGCAGTGCACAGCCGGTGTCCGAGACCGGGCGGTTCCGGAGTTCACCGAACCTCTAGGTAATAGGTACCAGAGTTAGCACTTTGGGGTAAATGGAGGAACGTTGCTGTAGCTACGGATTTGCGTGTGGACGGCGTCACAGGTGGACAGTTACTTATCAGCTTTCCGTACTGATGGACAGAGCACTTATGATTTATAACCATGAGCAATGACGCTGGTTCACATCTGACTGACTGACTTTCTACCCCACTAGGACATCACACAAGCGATAAACACCCGATGACACAACGTGCCACCATGTGGATGAGGATCGCCGTGGAGAGGTCCCAGGAACCGCGTTCAGACAATTGGCCATTTTATGGGCTGCCTATATTGCGGCTCCTGGCAAAAGCCAGGGTGGGGCTTCAAATGACAAAAAATGTCATCATATAAAGGACGAAACTGGTTCAAATTTCCCGACTTTACCTTTTTTATTATGAGCAGGCAAGGGAGGGTATGGAGAACCATACGGTGATTGGATAATCGCAGACCCAAATTCACAGTAAACGGGAAAACCCTATAGCTGCTCGGGTTCTCTGTAAACGAAAACCACGCAGAATGTCAACCACTGTACCTTGTGAAAACCACACAGAATGTCCACCACTGTACCCTGTGAAAACCACACAGAATGTCCACCACTGTACCTTGTGGAAAACACACAGAATGTCCACCACTGTACCTTGTGAAAACCATACAGAATGTGCACCACTGTACCTTGTGGAAAACACACAGAATGTCCACCACTGTACCTTGTGGAAAACACACAGAATGTCCACCACTGTACTTTGTGGAAAACACACAGCATTTTCACCACTGTACCTTGTGCAAAACACACATAATGTCCACCACTGTACCTTGTGGAAAACACACAGAATGTCCACCACTGTACCTTGTGGAAAACACACAGCATTTTCACCACTGTACCTTGTGCAAAACACACAGAATGTCCACCACTGTACCTTGTAGAAAACCACACAGAATGTCCACCACTGTACCTTGTAGAAAACCACACAGAATGTTAACCACTGTACCTTATGGAAAACAACTGATGGAGACCGCAGTCTTAGCAAATCCAACAGAATACGACATTAAATGCACAAGACAGCCGCCAGAAGTGCCAACACAAACAACGCGACACAGGAAATAAAGTACGTCGTCAATGGAGAGCACTGTTGATAATCGGGACAATTAGCAGCAAAAGAGACAAAGAACGACAGAGGGAGGAGATACTGAACGTGGTGACTGGATAATCAGAGACGAAAAGTTTCGTATACATTACTGGCAGTGTTTCCCCTTATGGTTCACACATTAAAAAAAAAAAAAAATGAGGTTAATGATAATGTTTATATTTACGATAATAGCAATGATAATGATAGTGATAATATTGATAATGAACGGGGGAAAATATTCTTTCATACCTTTATATCGTGTTTACAGAAACTAAGACCTGTTCTTGTGTCATTTTCTGCTTTAAAAATTGTCTCGAGCTTATTTTTGGAGGATGTCTAATTTTTTTTCCAAAATCTACATTTAACTAAAAAATCTACATTTAGTTATCTTTTAGAAAATCATCAAAAAATACCCTGAATTTTTTAAGCTACATGTGATTACGTTTCTTCTATATACAGCCAGTGTAGATTTTAGAGCATCACCAGATACGAGTGATATACACTGAATTTTTAAGCAAAGTAACATCACAGTGAGTTAGGAACACGTTTCTTCTATCTTGGACATTTAGTAATATCACAGTAAATAGATATTAGAGAAAGTAACACGTTTCTTCTATCTTGGACACGTAATAATAGATTATTGCAACAGTAAAAAATAAATTAAAACGAGAACATGAATGACTAAAAGATTCGAACAAGATTCGAAAATTGTTGACAGTTGGAGAGAAAGACAAGACATTGAAATTGAGAACTGAAAAATTATACGTATATAAAGCCTGAAGTAATATGCAGAAACGGACGCTAAACAGGCAACTAGAAACTCGAACGGAGTCTCTGGAAATGTGGATATACAGAAGAATATAGGGATTATATCGTACAAACACAAGCAGTAAAATACACTGATTCTGGAAACACTGCGAATCATAAGTGTTACTAAAAGAAGTAAAAATGTACAACCTTTAAATGGCTGCCACGAGATACGAAAGTGTGATATTGTGTATTTCTCTAGTGTTGTCTTATCTATGTGTGTGCTGAAGAAGGCTACATAGCCACAACGTTCACGTTTTGTTTGTGTTTGTTATATTGTGAAGCTCGATGACATACTTTTCGTTCGGGTTTATATATTTCCATTATATTTAAATATTTTGGCTACATAAAAAGGTGTAACGCTCTTTTAAAATATATACTAGATGGAAATGTCAAGGGCTAGAAAGTAAGAGGTAGACAGCGATACACGTGGGAAAACAACAGTAAAATGTTAACGAACAGTAGTATGAGAGAGTGTATAATCACAATAGGAAAAAAAGCGTGTTGGAAATCTATTTCAGCTAACCTTCACTGTGGAGACGGCACCGACCGAATGATTGATTCAAATATGCAAATATGTATACAGGTTAACGTGAAAAATAATGATGAGTTGGAAAGGCGGAGGAAAAAAAACACAACAACAACAACAACAACAACACACAACTTACCACTAGCGTTGCTGTAGTTGCCGTTGAGATCTGAGTTGTGTTGTAACTTGTCTGTGAAGTACTGGGGACTGTGAATTCCCTGCGAAAACACGTTTAGATGTTTGAACAACATAAACAAGTCTAGGGTATATATGCGTAATGTGCAAGTCTATTTGGTTTCCACAATTGGCTTTGTCTCCCAGTTCTCCGTAAAGTGGATACCAGGTAAAGTTCTGGGGAGTAAAGTTGGTTGGGTAATCTAGACCCCATCACCCATCGCATGCTAATTGGTCTATAAAATTTGAGTCTAGCATCATGTGCCCCTGTGATCCATTGGCGTGAAAATGGCTCTTGAATGTATGTATATACTATATTTAAATGTCCGTTTTCGCCCGGGATTTGTGGGTTCGCTCGGACGTTTTTTTAAAATGACCTTAGCTCCCAGGTCGACCCTGCCTTGAGTGGGTACCAGGGGCAGTTCTGGGAAGTAGAGGCGGCCGGCCTGACCACATCACCCATCTTGTACCGATTGGTCTATAAATAAAAAGGTCTAGTCCTTTATTCCCTATACTACTAAAGACGTGGAAAAGGGACCTTCACTTTACTTACTGTATACGTGATGGATTGTGGGGTAATTCAAACAGATAAAACCACTCTGTTGTACAAATATAACGTTTACTCATTATTCTCACTTCGTCGATCTTTTCTCCAGGTATGCCGGCGTATTGGGTAATGAACAGGCAGACAGCGTGGCTGTATCTGCACCACTCGGTGGTGAATTGATACAAGACAGATGTGGTCAAGGCCCTTTGGGAACAAGCAACGGAATAAGTAAAGAAAAAAAGATTATTATGGCCTGGAGAGAATGAGGCTCATGGGTGTAACCAAAGGGTCTGGCCTGCTCACTACACCCATATGAAAGGCATAACGGACATATAACCAGATTGTGACCGGTACCATCAGTATTGGAACTCTGCGCTGGCTGCTGAAGATGAGGACAGAGCCCGCATGGGAATGCCCGAGTGTTGCAATGTCAATTCTTGACTCAACTTAAGTCACTTCATCGCTGTCGAGTTTGTAATTGCACATGGTGCATTGTCCAAAAGTTACCATCTTACCTATACATGGAAAGTGCAATAATTTTAATATTCATTATAATATATATTAAAAAAAAAAAAAATACACCGAAAACACTAACACAACTAATCCACACTGACTTTACTTCAAACTTTTCCAGACTCCTAGTGCTTCAAAGAAACCCATTTGGTCTGTCCAACCCAGAGACACAATTTTCAAAGTTATGCGAATTTAGCTGCGCACTTGACTTTCCGACTTCCCTTGAAGCGTTAATGCTTACTTAAGCACGCCTTAAATGTTCTGTCTTATGTTTTCTTCTCACAGACTCTTTCTTCTCCATGCCGTTTCTTTTGCAAAGAGGACCACGGCGCGGGCTGTAAAACATTCGACAGATATGTCTTTGGCTCTTAGGTGAACGACGTTGCTTTGGATGGGGACGGCCGTTGTTTTGGCGAAGCACTGGTTTACCTTGAAAGGTACTTGAGTGTAGTAGGCAGTGTTGACCACTTTGGATATTTTACTTCCAGATGTAGATGTTTTTTCTTGCATTTAGATGGCGTTTTTGACGTTTAGATGATAGATGGTTTTTCTAAATATTTTTTATTTGGAGTGAATTTATCAAATCTAACCTAAGAAATAGGATGAAATTTGACCTCTTAAATGCTATCTTGACAATAAAATTAGGCGTGATAAGAGTAGGAAAAGGCTGTTCCACTTATCAGCTCCCTGATTAGATATTAAAAGAAATTTGAACAGCTAAAGCATACCAGAGTCATTTTGGATCTGAAGCTTCAACTTCATCATCCAAGCTAAGTTTATCCTGTGGGTCTTGTAAGGCAGACTTCAGTGAAGATGAGGACATGATTCTATAGGGTAAGTCATATCAATTGCTATGTAATTTGTGTCTCCTTACATTTGGATGTTTTTTTTTTCTAGATGTTTTCACGCAAATTTAGATGTTTTTAGAGATTTTTTGACTCCGTTTTGGATGTTTTTTGTGAAAGAAAAGTGGCAACACTGGTAGTAGGTTGGCGTGGTCGGCGTTGAATCATATTTTATGTCACGAGAAGATTCTTATTATTGAGCTAGAGCTGGCTTTTTGTAAAACCTGGTTCTGATTCAAAGCTTTCCCATTCTTAACTTAGGAGCCGTCGTGTTGTAGCAGCTAGGCGATTACCTGCGAATGCGAAGATCGTTGGTTCAGGTACTGGCGGAAGCAGACGAAAAAAAAGACCTTTACTTCCAGGACGACCCAGTCTTAAATGGGTACCAAGTAAAGTCCTGGAAAGTAAAGGCGTGATGTTGACCATATACCCACTTAGTGCCTACTGGTCTATCAAATATAGGTCTAGAAACTACATTTATGCGTTGAATACACCTGGAGGTGTGGAAATTGTCATTAACTTTATATTTACATTCTTATCTAATCCCAGTTGCGAATTCAACAGCATGTGTGCTAAGTCTATGTGTCCCAGAGCAGTGTTCTTCAACTCCTGGGCTGCGACCCATTGGTGGGCTACGGAAAAGTCCAAGTGGGAGCCCAGAAATGTAAGAGTAATCAGGTAGCGCAGATAGTTCCCCCACTCTCCCAGGCTTGCAGTCTGTAGGATTAACACCTCAGGGATGAGAATCAAACCGACAAAAGTGTACTCCACATAACAAGTCAGTATTTAAAGACGTTAGGTAAAAACTTTGATAATGATTTCCCAGAAAATGAGAATCCTCGTAAAGGCAACATTTTGAATAATAATCCCTTCTTGGAAGACATAAAATCATGCGCACTTGATTATCATGAACAAATAAAGCCTGATATATTTCTCTTCTGATATCAGTTTTGTTTCCAGCCATCAAATGATGGACATCACTAGACAAAGAATGTTCACGTATAAGTTATAAAGCTCTAAGATTGTTAATTGCTTTTAAAAATATATACAGTTCCATCAATATCTTGCTGTGAATGACCACTGGTAAACAACATCAGATCTTTTATTTACACTTCCTTTATCTATTTATTGACACAGTAAACGTATAAAGTAATTAACCTGGTGCTTTATTATTGTCATACCCCAAACAGGGAAAATCTACAGGTCACGTGGCAGTCTGATATTTCAGGGGAGGGGGGGGGGGGTTTAGATAGGCTGCATGTATTCGTGGGACTTAGGCTGCACTGTCTCGTGGGACGTAGGTGGGTTGGGGTTAGGGCCAGTTCTAGATGTTTTGGGGTCGTTAAAAGCATCAGAAAGCCGGGAAGCCAGTCTTACCATCCTCTAAAAGTTTTAGATTTTCATGTAACGTCATCTGGAGTAGGATATTAATAAAGCACCTTACACCGGTACTGAGAGAGAAAAACAAGAAATGACACAGCCAGAGAAACGCAGTTAAAACGATAGTACAAGACTTGTCTATGAAACGCCTATTTTTCAGCACTGGAGAAGGTTACAAAGTCAACATGAGATAAGCAACAATCAATGATATTTCAACTACTGTTTAAGATTAAACCATACAGCGAAGATTTCGCAAAGGAAAAAGAAAAGAGGTAAGTAATGAAGAAGGGATTGCCAAATTGCCTGTGACTTCCTAGAAAGAGCACCGTCTCAACGTCTGATAACCGGTGAAGGGTGAAATAAACGAGAGCGATAAACTTGTTACTGCACCGGACAAGACGTCATCATATCAAGAAGAGATAATTGATATGGTAGGTGGAAGCTGTGAATGTTGGGTGGATGTATTTAACGAAAGAAATAGAGATTCCAGCAAGTAGCGAGTCTCAAACGTCATAGACAATAGAAGTGAGGTGAAAGTTTGCGGTGAGCCAAAGCTTGGACGGGAAGATTTTTGGCATCATCTTTCTTCTTATGGTGCCGCTGTTATCTGGGTAAAGTGTAAGGTTGAGATGTAAGAATCTATGTGCTCTTTCTAATGCGTAAACGAGTTGTCTTTGTTGGTATTCGTTTCTGTACGTTTATTTCTCTCTTTGTAACGCCTCCGTTGCATTTATTAATTCATGTATTATTATTTTTATTTTGGGGTGTGGTTTTTCTCTTGGATGGTGTTTACTTTATTTCTAAACAATATTTTTGCCCTTGTAAATGTAAATAATGTGGACACAAACAATGCATCACGCAATTGGTCACAGTAAGATAATGTGATAAGTTTGAAATTGCCACAGTAATCATGAGGCTTATTATGCATTTCGGGTGGAGAGATATAGACTAGCTTGACAATGTGATCTACGCCTTTCAGCGGCAAGGATTCATTTGTTTATGTTTCATTATATATTGCTTTAACCCTACAATACTGCACCTGACGAGAAACAGGGAGATATTGTATATTTTTTTTAGAGCTGTACCGAAGAGTGATTTTCACTATTCGGCCGAATACGAATAGTGGGACCAACTATTCGGCCGAATACTAATAGTTGGACCAACTATTCGGCCGAATATGAATAGTGGGACTAACTATTCGGCCGAATACGAATACGAATACTAATAGTGTATCATCATCATCAGGTGCCTTGCCGACTGACGTGCGCGATTATGCCTCGCCACAATCTGCGATCTGCTGCAGCATGTATTAGTTCGTGTGTTGACACACCTCCATGACATGCAACAAGACTGTCAAGAATCTTCTCTCCTTGTCTTCCCCTATACCTCCATCCACAGATCTTTCCAGTAGTCACAACATGTTCCATATTCCCTCTTCTCATAACATGGCCGAAAAATTATGACTGTCTCCTTCTGATGTATGTGATTAGTTGTCTTCGGGCTCCCGCCTCTTTCAAAAACTATTGGTTGCTTTTTGTGTGTGTGGCTATTCAAGGTATTTTAAGCATTGTTCTGTAAAACTACATCTCAGAAGCCTAGAGAAATTGTTTGACCTGCCTGCCGATTGTCAAGGACTTACAACCACATTTTAAAACTGGAAGTATAGGAGAAAAATTGTAGCAAATGTAACCTTCAATGGCAAAGATATATTACATAAAATGTTCTTCATTTTATAAAATGCAGTTATTGCCTGTCGCCT